AGAGCAGGAGGGGAGGGGAAAGAAACTCAGAGCATCATGGGGCCCCCCAGCAGCCTAGGCCTATAGCAGCATAACTAAGGGAAGGCTCATGGTCACCTGATCCAGCCCTAACTATAAGCTTTATCAAAAAGGAAAGTCTTAAGTCTAATCTTAAAGGTAGAGAGGGTGTCCGCCTCCCGAACTGAGACTGGGAGTTGGTTCCATAGGAGAGGAGCTTGATAGCTAAAGGCTCTGCCTCCCATTCTGCTTCTGTGGACTCTAGGAACCACAAGTAAACCTGCACTCTGAGAGCGAAGTGCTCTGTTAGGATGATAAGGCTCTACGAGGTCTTTAAGATACGATGGAGCTTGTCATTAAGGGCTTTGTATGTTAGGAGAAGGATTTTAAATTCTGTTCTGAATTTTACAGGGAGCCAGTGGAGAGAAGCTAATATGGGAGAAATATGATCTCTCTTGCGAGTTCCTGTCAGTACTGCAGAGTTAGTGGACAGGACAAGGCTGATGGCCTGTGCAGAGAAACTGGCTTTCACACTCTTGCAACATTTTTCTGATGGTAGGACCATGAACAGGCTGTGCTCCGAGTGGCTATTGTCCTTGATGATATTAGGGGCCCTCCTGATGACTCTGGTGTGACAGCTGATAAGGCTGTTCCAGAGACGGTTTGGCCTGTTCACCACCCACTGTAGAGCCATACTGTAGAACTACCAAACCAGACTATGATAATCTCAACTGTGCATCTGTAGAAGCTGTATATCTCAAACATGTCACAAATAGCTGATCTGGTTATTTCAAGGGGCTTTGTGTGTTTCTTCAACACTCCAGCTGTTCAGTAGGATTCAAGATCACACCCCGGTCCTTTCATGGCAGAGGACACACCGCTCATGCCTGCGGACTCTGACGAAGGTTTTTCATAAGGCAGGCTGCCCTTCTCCCGCCCCACCACCTTCTTCCTGACTCCTCACTGATTCACTGTGACAATCTGTCGTCTGCCCTTTTTTCTAAATCTTTGCCTTTGATTTCTGTCCTCCATTTTTCTGTCAGGCTTAACATGGAGAAATGTGCCTCGATGTAATTGCGTGCTTAGGCGGCGTGTAATGGAACATGAAATTAAAGTGCTCCTGCTTATACTCTGAATGTTTCTTATAAAAGCAGGAGGTGATTTGTGTATCAGCCATTTTATCAGTGTTGAAATATCACATTTGTGATGATGCAGAGATACGGTGAGTGTTCCAAGTTATGACCCACTTCGAATATTTTCCTCATAAAGCGCTAACTGTCGACGCGCCCTACTATGAAATGTGCAATAAAATGGCACTGCATTACATCTTAATTGAAGCTGCCTGCACTGTCTTGGCAAGTGAAAGTCTCTCCTCTCCAAACAAGACGCTGTTAGACTGGTTTAAATAGAGACAGACAGGCCCCCAGGGCACCAATGTCCTTTGGGATTGTCAGGGTCATCAATGATACATGAGACTACACTAGTGCACTCCTCTCTGACTGTTACACCACATTTAATGGCACATTACATTATGGTAAATACATTTTGATGTTGCACTTCTTCCCAGTGATGTTAAACACATGCTAAATTGACTGTATGTTACTGCACAGAGGAGAAATGAACAATGCATGATGTTTTCCGCTGCAGCCCTGTTTCTGCTTCCTTGGGCACTCTGAGCTTTTGTGCACCTCAGCTTCACCATTTCTTCTCCCACTTGTACCTACATAAAATCTCAAATTTAGAGGCTAGAATCTTTATTTTCCTCTCAAACCCTGAACATAAAGCTCACAGGCATCTCAGGCTTCATTGCAGGGCCCTCCAAATGTTAGCCCGCCTGCGTGCCAAGACTAGACAGGCCCTTTGCAAAGCTAACACGGCCTCGCAGCGGCTTGTGCTCGTCAGTGGCCGGCTGGTCTCATTGGCTTTATTTATAGTCGGCGCCACAAGACATCTGCTGGA